TTTTTACGTGCGTGCGTGTGCATGCGTGTGGTTTAAACGATAATTTTAGGACATATCCCGGCGGTTGGTGCAAATGTCTCTTCATCCATGGATTAAACCAGTGACCCATTGATTACAAACTCAATGACTTCCTACTGAACTTAGACTGTTGATTTAATGATATCATGATAATTAGTTCCTTTATTTGTATAATACTAAACTTTTTTTGGTTGGGTTTACATCGCACCAACACAGTCAAGGTTATTTGGCGACTTTTTCAGCTTTACTGTGGAGAAAGACCTCAGATGCCAGTCCGTGCATTATTTCAAGCACGAACGGGCACCTCGGTAGAACCACCGACGTCCCCTAAAGTGGCGGGATAGCTTCCTCACATGAAAGAATGCAAAGTCCCTGTCTAGATTCGATCCCACAGCGGTAAAGGGGCAAGTGATTTGAAGTCAACGACCTTAACCACTCAGCCACGGACACCCTACTATACTTTTTCCTCTATTTTCTAATCAAATAAATATACGATGAATTAGGTTGAAGATGGGTATAAAGTAGACACTGTAGAATTCCTTTACTTTTTTTCAAATAACTTCATCGTTCTTGATAAGACAAGTTGAGTACAATCTGAATGACTTGTTGTTCATACTTATGTTTATACTTAAAACTGTCGCCATTTCTCCTAACGTGACACTTATGAGATAACTTACTTGAGTCATAATTCATCGTATTTGCCGACGTGAAGTTATTACTATCTAATGTCATCAGTTTGTTCTTGTCATTAAAATAGTAGCCAGCTGCCACAATTCTATCAGAAAATGTCCTCCACGTGAATATTTCTTGGTCGTAGTTAAACATCATATACGTGTTGGATTCTGTCGCACCGATGACAACTTGAAAATCTGCAGCCTGTAGGTTTGATAAAAAATGTATAAGAAAACACTGAAAATGGCATTACTTAAATAATACTAGTACATATCATCATGCGGGACAATCACAATTTCAACATACAGAATTCACGAAGTCACGATTTCATCTTCACGAGTTCAACTTCATTAATTCTTTTTTTAAACTTCATGATTTCATCTTCGGGTATACACGATTTCAACTTCGTAAAGATAAAATTTTGAACTCGTGAAGTTCAAATCATGAAGTTCATGAAGATGAAATCGTGAAGTTCAAAACGTGAATTTGCAAAGTTGAATTTGTAAAGTTGAAATTGTGGATTCAAGAAGTTAAAATTGTGATATCACGATGATGATATTGTGAATTCGAGAAGTTAAAATGTCCCCACCGGTCTTTCGTAGAAATGTGTTTACCATTTCTGTGGAATGCATAAAGGATCTTGAATAAGTAAAGGTTTAATGCTGAATTTCTTCAACGAGTTATAATTTATACTTCTATAATAAACACACACGAATATGTTATTCTACTCATCACATACATAAAATAAGAACTGTTAACAAACAGTAAAAAATGATTGTTTGTATTGACGCGCTCAAAGAGTAACGCTATAACTTAGCGCGTCTTTACCTTATGTTTGTTAAATTAAACTCAAAGGATGGCAGGTCAAAATATATGACCGTGCACGACCGTGCAATTCTATTTTTACGGAGCCGCAAAAGCGGCACGGGTGTGTATAAAACTTCATTTTTATCGTAACAAATATCGAATGAAAACACCAATTCTCCATGAATAGTAACGATTCTACAAACCTCAAAATTTGCGTTCTGTGAGTAAGGGTAGGGTACGGCTCGCTTCCAAGTCACCACTATACCTGTCCTAAAATCCAACATAATTAGTAATTAGTTATTGCACATTTTAACTGACTTTTGTTCTTTATTGCTCATTTTAAATTTATCAGACTTTTAATTCTACAAATTCATCTTATGATGTGATGATTATTGATTTTGATTCTCTGCGTCTCTTTTCGTTTACAGTCTTATACAATATGAGTGCTCGTACAAGTTTCAACCCCTTACAGCTTCTATCAAACTCGCCTTCTAGAATTGCTATGAACATATCCACAACTAAATGTATATATACAACCTTTAATATATCAAAAATATATACAAACATATTTAATAGAATTTATATTCAAACACTTTAGAAAATTAAAAGAAAAACACGTTACTGAATTTCTATACGAACCTAAGGCTGTTAACTTGTAGATATTTAGCTACATTTTCAAGGTCTTTTCCACTCAATTCATTTGTAATTTCGACACCACTATTCGTTCCATGTATTTCAATATCCGCCCACAACGGTGCAATTATTGGGAATTCAAATCGGTCCCAGCCGCTAGATGTCACTGGAGGATATGTTTCGTTTATAACATTCCCGAAAGTTATATATCCGTTGATACTGACCTGCAAATTATATCCATAATTTAAGTATTATCTAAACTTTGAAATGTTTGTAAAAGTCGCACTAGTAGGTTCTGCTATTTTAGAAATAAAACTTTGACATAACAGGACAAAACTCTATGAATATAGGACGTGGGCTCTATTTAAATGAACAGAACAGAACAGAACAGAATTTTTATTAACGTATACAATACATGTATCTTGTTAATACAACATCAAATTAAATACATACAATGATAAGATGATAAGCACGTGATAAGCAAACATGTTTTCAGTGTTTCACAGAGAATGAACAAATTATCATATTTTTAATTGAAATAACTTCAAAGTTGGTGTTTAAAGAACCAGCGCTTTCTGACAATCGTATGTGGTAATTTCATATATTTAAATATAACATAAATATAACATATTGAAAAGCATAACTTCGATGTAAACATGTCAAGATAATACTCACTTAAGGGGAAAAAGTAAGAATCTTGATGCATATACGATTTCAAATAATACTGTCTAGTCTAGTAAACTTTTTTATTTCAAACATTTATTAAATTCTTTGCATTAAATCATTTCTAATTTTATTGGCTGAGCTTATGTATTTACTCAGATTGATCAGAACGCCTTTATTATTTGACTGTAGCAATTCTAGAAATTTAAACATACTAGTATGAACATAATAATAACGTTTAATATATTTAGTTCGCAATCCTTTATAACCTTTACATTTAAGTACAAAATGAAATTCATCTTCAATTTCGTTAATATCACATACTTGGCAGATACGTTCCTGTCTTTCCAATCTATTCCGGCCATACCTGGCAGATTCAATTCTTAACTTATGAGCAGATATACGTAATTTCGTGAGACAAATTCTTGAAGATTTACAGGATAATACATTAAGGTTATTTTCCATACCGAAGCTAGTTTTAACATATGCATATAAAGTATTCAAAACATTATTGACAGCTATATCAGCAAACGATTTTTGTTTAAAACAATCTACAACCCTTTGTTTGAAAATCGGTATAAATGTTTTTACTTCAAAACTTTGTGGACAATTCCAAACATCAGAAAATCCATATTCATTTAGCAAATTTAAACAAGGTATGCCAAGTTTTTTGTACCATTTAAATTACACTGTTCTAGCGCATTTTGATAAATACCTTTTAAAATAATATTATCTGTATTCATTAACTTAAACCAATACTTAATGATATGAACATATCTGTTAACATATAATGGATAGCGCCCAAGCTCACCATATATTGCAGAATTACATGCGCTCTGTTTTACTCCTAGTATAATTTTACAAAACTTAATATGAATTCTCTCAAGGTCTTTAGATTTAGAGAAACCCCATATTGGACATACGTAATTCAAAATAGATCCAACAAAAGAATCAAATAGTTGAAGCGCAATAATTGGATTAACATCATATTTATTAATATTATTTACTAAAACTTGCATAGCTTTTAACGATTTGCCTGCAATACATTGATTATTTAAAACAAATGAACCTGTATAATTAAAAACAACTCCTAAATAATTTAAATCATTTACAACCTCTTAGGGCTCATTGTCATAATTCCATTTCTCCCACATTTTTATCGGTCCCCTTTTCCGAAAAACAACAATTTTTGTTTTAATGGTATTTACCTCGAGACCCCAATAACAACAATATTCGTGTAAAGAATTAAGACTATTTTGGAGATCTTCTCGGGTTTAACCAATTAAAAAAATAAATGTGGAAGATTTGACGGAGGAAACAAGTCGAGTTTTCTTTTAATTATTATCATTATTATCTCTAACACATTCTTGTTGTTGTTTGCCAACCGAATTTCATGTGACATTGAAGACATTGTGTTTTTAATTGAAGCACAGTTTTCAAACGGAACCTCGATTGATGGTGGAGTAATTGGTGCCAATGATAGTGTGAAACATTCTACCTGTGTGGAACCCCTTTTACATTTTTCAGAGCTATTGATATAATAAAAGAAACCTGGGTTAAAATGACCTATTCATGGTCCTTTCTTTTTTTACTTATTTATATATTTATTTATTTATTTCTTCAGATATGTTCAGATAATACTGTGCCCATTTTTCTCTCTTAAATTTCTTAAGATATTGTAATCAAACTTCTATAGATTATCGCCACATATTGTAAGGTTTCTGTGATTCTACGCGTACGGTCATTTTGGTGAAAATATGGTCCTTGATTGTAGTGAATTTTGCGACCCAACTGTTTTTGTGTACAATAAAATGTAACCTTAAATTTGGTGCTTATTTCAGTCGTTTGGTAAATAATTTCAAAAAGTTATTGTTATGTATGCAACATATTACATGTATATAATTTATATCTGACCAGTTGGTATTTCCAATATTATCATTGTTCTATTTTTAGAACATAAACTACATGTATGTACTAGAACTTTCTTAACTGTTGTAGAAAACTCATGCATTATATTTAGATAGAAACTTCCGGAATGATCTTTATTGTTGAAGTTGCTAGATTATGATTACTGTAGTAAATGGAAGACTATTCTAGAAACTTCTTAGCTTGATATATATAGAAGACATTTTTCTTTCGTATTACCTTTTAAGTCATCAGTGATCTTTTAAGTCATCAGTTACCTTTTAAGACATCAATATATTTGGAGTATTATTCAACTTGGAAATTAAGTGATTTATTGGAGCTTGGATTATTTTAAAATAGTTAAAATTATTCTTGTGGATTTTATTGTGGGAATTTATTCTAAAGTGTTCTTGGATTTAACTTGGATTTAACTGTGCTATTCAAAAAGGATCATTCCAGGATCAGACTAGACATTTGTAATTTACATTTTTATTTGGACTTCAGGTATTTGTAAACATAATTTGTTATTTTATTTTTCTTTAATAATTTTTCTGTAATAAATTTGTTATTGTTACAAGTTTGTTGCTGGCTTTTCTTTCTCGTTACGCCTGGCTCGTAACATTATTAAATTTGACTCTAATTATCATGGTGAAAAATAGCTCATTTGAATGAACTCACATTACTTACAGTTTTCTAGGCCGACGATAGTATAGCAATATAGTATATTAAACTTACGTAGAATTTATTGTACATTCGGCCAAATAATGATAAGCTTTTGTTTACATGGTAAGGACCGAAAATCTCATCGTCCCCAGACTCTGTGTGTCCCACATTAACCTTCGCTATTAAAACTTCCTCTGCAAATACAGTAAGATTATTTGAAATTTCATTCAATTATGACCTAGAGCTCACATGACTTGTCATTAAATAGCTATCAATTAGAAAAGACAGATTTCCCATTTTTGTTCTACTACTTTGAATGAGAAATAAAACTAATTGGAACTGGCCTAATTTCCGACAATTAAGTATGTATACCTTCGGTAGGTTATCACAAATGTGTACAATCCGTCTGAAGTTTAGAAAACCGTATTTTAAGAGCTGATTTTAATTATATTAATATACTGAAAATGAAACGGAAATAGCAAAGAAGCCAAATTTCACAAAGCTTACTTTATAAAACGATCAAGCTGGATCAAACTGATTGGATGACAGTGAATATGATGTCATATTTGACAATGAATATGATGTCATATTTCTTACCTATACATTTATGATACCCGTCACCACGGTAACCATCTTTACATTTACATGTATAACTTCCATTTGTATTTGTACAGTTTGAATTACTTGCACAGGCTGAAGCTACCTTACACTCATTAATATCTAGAAAAAATACCGAGACATTAACAACATTATGTTTGAATCTTAACGTACCAGCAGAGTACTTTACAGTTTTCTTAGAACGAGTACAATTTATAAACGTATAGTCTACCGTAATAAAAAGAATTAGAATAAGTATACCTACATCAAATTTGTAATTCTTGATTCATGAATAGTTTTTAAGAAAAAATGTTATTTTACCGGAGTGCATTTGAGCGTTGCCATAGTAACGATTTACGACTTTTGATAAGTTAACCATGCTATTTGTTATTTGTTAATCTTAAAATTTATTAAGTGAAATAATATATGAGTATTATAGTACAGGGTTATAACAATGCGCATAAATCGTCGTTTGTATACATGTATAGTACTTTTATTGTTACGAATTAATGTGAACCGCGAAAGAATAATGCACACATATATATGCAGAGTGCACAACAAGTGCAATTACTATTAATGGCAACGTCTCTCTATTTTTAATCTAAGTACTTGTGTATATTAGTAAAAGAAAAGCTATGCCATTACCTACTGAACATGTGTCGCCTGTCCACCCCGGGGCACAAACACATCTATGATCTCCGGGAGTGTTCACACATGTAGCATTGTTAGAGCATACCGTGCTGTCAGGAACACATTCATCTATGTCTAAAAAGACAAATTATAACGAAAAATATAATAATTAGATAAAAAAGATATAATAATTAGATAAAAAGATAATCAGCAAATCCTATCTAAGATATAATAATTAAACATTACTTTTATCCTATTAGACATAAAGGACCAACATTAGTTTCACGTCAAGTCCTTTCACGTTTTAGATATTCTGCTTTTAAATTAATGATGAAAGAAGGAAGATTTAGGAATATTGAAAGAAATCAACGATTTTGATTAAAATGCTATATGAATGTAGTAGACTTTTTACATGCTTGTCCGTATTACATTGATCTACGAAGAGAATAATTACCTAAATATTACTGCGCTTGGCCAAATGTACAAAAATTTACAATGTTAATGAATAACTCACAACAGAATTTAATAAAGAAATTATCTAAATTTATTTACTATGCAACCTTAGCTAGAGAAACAACTAGAAGCTAATTCCAACTAATTCAAACATTGATTATTATAGTCTTAATATTAATTTTGTTTCATGACTGTGATATTACGATATATGTAATATTACTTTTCTCGTATTTAGATGTTTTATTCACTTGTTAATATGTTTATATGTATGTGTACTCGCCATTATTGTTTATGGTAATAGATATTATGTTTGTTCTTCTTGAAAACAAGTTATATCAGTAAATCGTATACATGTATTAGATATAACCACTAACAATTTTAACATTTACCGTTATCATTAATGAAAAGTCTATTAGACATAAAGGACCAACATAAGTTATTATAGCAAATCGTTTATTAGATATACCCACTAACAATTAGCTTTTTCATTAATGAAATATTTATTAGACATAAAGGACTAACATAAGTTATAGCACTAAAGACTTTATTAGATATAACCACTAAAAATTAACTTTATCATTAATGAAATGTATATTAGACATAAAGGACTAACATAAAATACATCAGTAAATCCTTTATTAGATATTACTAATAACAATTTATTTTTCATTGATGCAATGACTATTAGACATAAAGGATACATATAACCACTAACAATTAACGTTATCATAAATGAAATATCTGTTAGACATGAAGAATCATCATAGTTATGACAGCAAATCTTTTATTAGACATTAAGTGTATCATTAATGATATTACTATTGGACATGTGAGTAAACACAAAATGATAACACTATTTAATCAAACAATCAACAATTTTGGTTCAATAAAATAATTTATGGATAAAGAAGCTGTAATGACTTTTAAAAAATAATCATCAATAAAATTATCTAAGACGTTCAAAAATTATATTCGTGATTTTTTTTCTCAACTTTATTTAGTCGATAAGAATTGTGCTCAAATTTTCTGACACATGACCTACGAAAATTAACAATCAGGATAGTATTGTGACAAATAACCATTTCTTTATTAAGCAGTGTTTTTTTTGTAATGATTACCTCCCCTTGTAAACATTTATTTTTGTGTACGGTATAATATATTTCGACCTAGGGTTTATTATTATGTTAATAGTTCATGTTAATAATATCAAAATTGAAAATTTATTTGATGTTTCGTTATTATTATTGAAATTATTAAAGTATCATTAAAAGTATAGAGCCGGGCCAGCCTAAACGTTCTCTCTATAGTCTTGGTAGCTCAATTTTGATATTCTGATACTAAAATCCCATAAAGTTTGAATGGACTCTTCCAAATTCCAACATGGGCAAATCCATTTTTAAAAATCAGCAGGTTATGGTATAAAGAGATTTGCTTTTATTCAGCAGTAATAATATACTTACCATCACACATATATCCGTTACCAGTAAACCCTTCCCAGCACGTGCAATTATATCCTCCTTCTGTATCCGTGCAATTTGCATTCCTGTCACATTTATGGGTCTTTTCCTCACATTCATTTATATCTGAATAACGAAACATACAATCATATATTTTCTATTCCAATAGACGATTACTATTTTGAGCTACGAGCTAAGGGCATTAACGCTGAAACGTGTGTATTGGAAGAATTCAAAAACATAAGAATTATATAATATCGTATTTTTTACAATATTTTTGATATACCCACTTTTTAAATAAAATAAAAACTCACTGTCACTGCAATCGTGTCCCTTCCATCCTGTCGTGCACGTGCACGTGAAATTGTTAACTTGATCAATACAGGTGCCATTATTGAAACATTTTTCACCCACGCAGTCATTTATATCTGGAAAAAATGATATATACAATATATCATAAACTATTGTCTTCAAAATCAACAAAAGAATTTTTGATTAAAAATAATGTTTAACACGTACATGTAGGCAGTGTTGGTTTTTTTTTTGTTGTTTCTGTTGTTAGTTTGTTGGGGGGGGGGGTGTTGGGGGGGGGTTGTTTGTTTTTTGTTTTTTTTTTATGAGGGGGGTTCATTTTCACTTTTCCCCCTTCTTTTATTTAAGAAATCTCTGTTTTTATTCACAATTTGAATGCTTTGGTAAATTATAAAGCATGGACTGTAACATATGACCCTTTAACCTGCTACGATAAAACTGTCGTCCAGACATATGAAGAAATATGTTTACGTTACCGTTTAATTTGCTCATGAGGATATTATATAAAGTATTTTAAATAAAACACACCATATTCACAATTTGTACCATTGTACCCAGGGACACAGGTACAATTATACATATTGACCCCGTCGTTGCATGTAGCGCCATATTTGCACGGGTCGCTCGCACACTCGTCGATATCTAAAATACAGGACTCGTGTTTTTATCATCTTAAATATATGAAGATTTTGTACCAGATTTCGTTGTGGTTTTTTTTTTCTTTTTTTTCTTTTTTGCTTGTTCTTTTTTTTAAGCTAAAGATTTCGCAGATGGAAGTAAAAGATTGGGTTAAAGCTGTAAGAACACTGAATATGCAAATCGAATTAAAACAGAATTATAAGAATGCATATATAGATAATTACTTACAGACATAAAGCGAAGAAAAGCAGCTTATAGATAGAAATACATTAGAAATTTGATTTTGATTTTTAAAGTCAAATGACGTCGGAAATTGTTTTCTTACTTAATCTTTTTTTCCACATTTAACTTACCAACTGTACAATTTTGGCCTGTATAACCCGCTTCACAATGACATTCATAGGAGTTGACTAAATCTGTGCAATTTGCTCCATTCTTGCACGGATCACCCAGACAGTCGTCGATATCTAGATGAAAGGTGAGTATTATAACACATAAAGTCAGATCAAGAATGGTGATTTATATATATATTATTTAAGCAAAAGCAAATATGATCTTTTTTGGAGATTAAAAAACATGGCGGTGTTAAACTGCCCACACCGCTGCTCTTTCCTATATCCTCCAGTTGCCATCACACGCCGCCATTATCTCCCCAATACAAACCCCTAAATTTATCACTTTTGATTAAATTTATCGGTGACCCAAAAAAATGAAATTTAGATATCGTATCAAAATATAACATCTTTTCAGAGTACGGATATTGAAAGGGTAATGTCATTTGGAGAAGAAATTCAAAATTGTCCACAAATAACGTTTTGTCGTTTTTGATGCGTCTCAAGGGCATAACTTCATCACATAAAAACATATGAGCCGCGCCGTGACAAAATCAACATAGTGCGTTTGCGACCAGCATGGATCCAGACCAGCCTGCACATCCGCGCAGTCTGATCAGGATTTACAAACCGTATTACAAGTAGAGAAACTAATAGCGAACAGCATGGATCCTGATCAGACTGCGCGGAAGCGCAGGCTGGTCTGGATCCATGCTGGTCGCAAACCCACTATGTTTTTTTTTTGTCGTGACGCAGCTCATATGTTACGCATATTTTCATGTTTTACGAAGTGTCACGAGACAGATGTTTATCATTTGATAATAAACGGACAAGTAACAGAGTTCTCCTTCCCCACCCCTCTAATCCAAGACTACATCGGCACATACATGTGTTGTTCGTTCAGGCGGGGCATTCCAGTAAATTAAGCAACTAGTATTAAACACAACTCTTCTGTTGTGATAACAAGATAAACAGTATTCAAAGAATACATAAGAAACAGAGAATAAAATAGTTGCTGTATAGTTAAAGCTACTAATTTTAAGCTACACATTTTAAGCTACACATTTGTTGAACATATACGAGAAGTGTGGTGAAGCGGAAGCCTTCATCGTATTTTATTCATCAACAGGCGGGCTCATAGGCCTACCAATGGAGTGTCCATGGATTCTGTACCAGAACTAAGATTATTCGACTCTGCAAGTGACTCACAACTTCTTTTCATGAAAAGTTTCGAAACAGTGTTTGAGGCAGAATGACATTATCATGCAAGTATTGTTTTCAAAGACAAGGAGAGAAATTCGACTATTCATTATAATAAATTCCATATATAGTTTCATCTTTGTCCAGTCCAGTGTTTGCAGAACATAATAATTATACCTAATACATATTGGCATATATGTGTATATAAACTTGAAAACTAAAACTACATTTAAATATGCATACTATGATCACAAAGAGTTCCATTAAACCCTGGTGGACACTCGCACGTGAACTCGTTGATGCCATCATGACACGTGCCGCCGTTATTGCATGGGTCGCCTTCACATTCATCTATGTCTATAAAGTACAGTGCATGTATATAAAAAGTCAAATATATATGTAAAAAGACACAAAAACACAAACAAAGACATAAATATATATGACTTTATAGCTACAAAGAAAGAAAATGATACAATCCATGCAATGAATACGTGTCGATGTAGTAAATAAAGAAATAAAGAGTCAAAAATATAGAGACAAGATGTACAAACTGCAGTGGTTTTAATATATAAACAATACTGGCAATATTTTCGCGCGTATTAAGCGTGGAGATTTGTGACACAAAATTATAAAGGTCTGACACAAAAATAACGCAGTATTTGCCAAGTAACATAATATGGCACATGATAACGCAGTATTTGCCAGATAACACAATATGGCGCATAATAACGCAGCTTGAGGCAAAAAAAAACAATATGGCACAAAATAACGCAGCTAGACGCAAAATAACACGATATGGCGTATAATAAAGTATGGTACAAAGCAAAGGAGGGAGGTTTTATCTTGTAAATCATTTTTGTTCTGATATCAGATCAGTTTTATGACAGAAATAAATCGTATAAGATGATTTAACCTATAGCTCTTCAGCGCTTCTTATGTAAAATTCTTCCAAGTATAATTTCCAATAACCGTAAATTATACCATACCCAGACTATGGTATAATTTTCAGTTTTGAAGATCGAAGGAGTAAGTGTTTCTGGGCGGAGCTATAGGTTAAAACAGATACACCATTGGTGCGTTGACGATTTCTGGGTTTGCGTAAATTATACCATAATCACGTGACCTTTCTTATGCAACCTCACTCGACTTCGTCTCGTGAGGTTAAGGCATAAGAAAGGTCACGTGATTATGGTATAATTTACGCAAACCCAGAAATCGTCAACGCAGCAATGGTATATCTA